CCATCCATCCATCCATCCATCCATCCATCCATCCATCCATCCATCACAGGTAAAAATCGCTTTTCACTTCACTTTATATCTGTATAAGTTCTGATCTTAGGATGGTTTGAGAAACAGTGGAAGAACTTTATTCATATGTGTTTACTGTCAAAAAAAAAAAAAAAAAAAGGAGAACTCTTGTCCTTCTAATAAGCCATGCAAAAACACAAGGAGAATGAGTGGAAACAATGGATTTTTTGTTCTATGTGTTGTTTTATTCCTTTTGTGTCTGTGTTAGTAATGAAAATATAACAGAATCTTCTGAGCAGACCTGGTGAAACATGGTCATACAATCTCTTCTTACTTGACATAAATTACAGTAATGCTTGAGGGCAATATATCATCCAGATTTAGATGATAGAAGTTCTACCTGTTTTTCACAGTGGTTCCAATAATCTCTCCAGCAGGATGGTGAATATTGTTGTCAAATGTTTCACTTTTCTTTCCCATAGAAAGTACTCCTGGATCAGTGCTTCTGTGTTCTTTTTTTTGTCTCTGCTCTTTTCACTCAAACCCCCAGTCGGTCGTGGCAGATGGCTGCTCACACTGAGCCTGGTTCTCTGGAGGTTTCTTCCTGTTAAAAGGGAGTTTTTCCTCTCCACTGTCGCTACATGCATGCTCAGTATGAGGGATTGCTGCAAAGTCAACGCCAGTGACTGTCCACTGTCTCTACATGCTCATCCAGGAGGAGTGAATGCTACAAGTCACTGACTCGATGCAATCAGCTGGGTTTCCTCTGATAGAAAAACTTTTTAACCAATTTCAATAAATAACTGAATCCGACTTCACTGTTTCATAGAATTAATTGGAATGGTATGTACCTGACTTAAAATCTGAATTGTTCGACTGAATTGATTTTGTGAAGAACCTTGAGACGATATGTGTTGTGAATTGGCGCAATATAAATAAAAATGAACAGATTTTAATTGAATATTGTTTCTTAGAGATTACAACACGCCGATGCTCTCACCAATGCAGAACAGTCATACAACGATAGTTAGACAAATACTACAAATCCAAATGAAAAGTAGCTTTATAAAAGGACGTAGAGAGCACACTGCCATATACTACTCCTGTCAGATGTTTACAGATATTCATAACAAAGGTTTGATTTATCGAGTTTATCTAGTCCGCATACAATCAAAATTGTACCTAACATATGTCTAATATTACTTTTAACAAGTTGCTAAGAAGCACTTTTTGTGGCCACCAACAAGAGAGTCAGGCCCCTTACCTAACTTTAGAGAATTAGGTAAGGGGCTGTCCCATTAACATGTTTGCCTGGTTTATCCAGTCCAAAACTATTCCCAGTGTTTGATATCATTGTCCTGTTGGAACACCCACCTGTCATTAAGCGGATGGAGGTCAAATTCAGGAATTTTGTGGTAGTTGTTTCTTTCATTATTTAATCCCCCCACTGCAATGTGACCATACCACTGGCAGTGAAACAACCCCTCAGCATGATGCTGCCACCACCATGCTTTGCAGCTGGTAAAGTGTACTTGGGCTTAAGGTCTCTAAATTACCTTTTGCTAAATATTTTTCCATCGATCTATCCATCCATTTTCTATACCTGCTTGTTCCATATAAGATTGCGGGGGAACTGGTGCCTATCTCCAGTAGTCAATGGTTGAGAGGCGGGGTGCATCCTGGACAGGTCGCCAGCCCATCTCGCAGGGCAAAACAGAGACACACAGGACAAACAACCATGCACACCTAAGAGCAATTTAGAGAGACCAATTAACCTAACAGTTTGGTTTTTTTAAATTGTTGGACGAAGCTGGATTATTCAGAGAGAACCCACGCAAGCATGGGGAGAACATGCAAACTCTATTCAGAAAGACCCCTGGCCGGGATTCAAACCGAGGACCTTCTTGCAAGGCAACAGTGCAACTGTGCAGCCCGCTAAATAATTTTCTTTAAATCAATTCAAATCCTTGTTCAGATAAAAATGTAAGTAAATAAATGCATTTCAACTGAAATACTGAAGTAACGTTTAAGACTGCCAACACTTAGTTTTTTAATATGTTTTAAAAACTCAGACTGACAAATATTTTTGACACTGTTTATTTTATAAGGTGCAGCTTTTAAACAGGATCCTAGAAAACACAAATCCATGTACAAATCATCCTCCCTGTCAACAAGCAGTCGGTCCTGTAAAGTCACCTCACATGACCCTTTTAAAAAGAAGTGGCCTGGCTGATCTGCAGTGTGGCCTATATAAGCAATGCGATCTGTTATGACTCCATCCCTTTAAGCTAAAAAAGTTGTAAAACCACTCTGTCAGGATCTGTGTGCTGTGTCTGGTGTCGTTCACTGTGCTTGGCCTCTAGGTGGCTCTGAGACCGTGAGGAGTGGTGACAGGTGTTCCCTATCTCCATAATCATCCTTGGAGGGTATTTAAGACGGAGGCTGCCAGCAATTCAGTGCCAGAGTGTTGCCCTCAGTGGTATAAGCTCAAGCAACATTAATCCTTGCTTTGTCTTTTGCCTTTGAGTAACTTTGTATGTGCTCCTTCGCAGGCTGCATACCTGAACCTGACTTTGTTTTCAGCATTGTTTGCTGTCCTGGATTTGTGACTCTGGCGATTGATCTCCAAACCTTGTGGATTAAAGCCTGGGCATCCTGCCCACTTCGTCTTCTCACAACTGGCTGGCAGCTTCCTGTCTGGATCAACCATGGACCACTTCAAGCGAACCCTGTCCACCCTCCATCACAATAAGACCAACACCAGTACCTCAGAGCCCCACAACGTGTGTCAATTACCTACCAGCTCCGGTCTCCTCTGTGCGCACCTTCGTTGTTGTTTTTCCCTCCTTCTGGCAGATCACCCATCATCCCTAGTAAGACAGGCTTGCTATTTAGTAATATTCACTCTTAAGATTCATGTTACTTACTGCAAACTTACCTTGCAGTTTGTTTCCCGGTTCCAGCTCCTTCCGTATCTTCACGCTTCCTGTAAATTTATTTGTTGAACTTGATCTCTCTCCTGAATGCTTACTGCATGTGGGTCAAAACTGTCTGAAAAACTATGACACACTCAAGGTCTACTGTATATGACAAGGATGCTTTTAGTGGAAAACTGCCATCCTATAACAACTAAGCAAATGGACAATTGTTTTGTGCGATTGGTGATGTGCTGCTAAATGCAGCCAGCCTTTCTTGTGTTCAACTTTTCTTGTAAAAACATCTCTCATGTGACCAAGACTCAATTCATTCTAATACCTCTACTTGTCAAATGAAACACAAAGCCTCCTTCTGATGCTTGCATATTGTATATACTGATTATCTAATAAGTTAGGGTTGCAACAGCAAAAACTGAAAAAAAAATTTTGCTTCTGGAGTCTGCTTAGAAGGGCTTCTAGTTGAATACACATGAATGAATCACTCAGTGGTGGGGATTACAATATACTTTACCTCCATCTGCATTACTGTGATTAATTCTTGCCAAAAATAAAATGCTGTGGATATGGTCATCTCTGCACAACCACTGTGAAAGCCCATTATATTTTATGTTAAAATTATGGTTTGATTTTGCATTGAACCCAAATGCAGGCAAAAATGCAGTCAGGATAATCTTGAGTGTGACTTATTAAAAAGATAAAGTTATAAAAATTAAACAGGAGGTGACAACAAAACAAGGTAATCAAAAAAAAATGACTGCAGTGAATCAGAAGAATAAATGAGAAGTTATTACTGAGACGAGGAACAGGCTAGTCCGATTACTGAATAAAGAACAGGTGTGGAAGCTGCATGAATCGGGGAGGTAAAGGGAGAATCTGACGGAAACGATGTAAACACTACAAGGAAAGAGGGTGATTAACGCAGGAAAACTCAGACAAGTTTGCCTTTCAGTCCTTATTGCTAAGGCAGGCCTGAGACGTCTTTCTTTTAGAATCAGGTGGTCTCATTGGGGTTGTTGATGTTGAAGCAGGTCTGGCTGAGGAGGATGGTGGCGCTGATACTCTTCGTGTTGCTGTCGGAGTGGATAGTGAGCTCTGCAGCTGTCGGGACACCTGTTCCCTTTGCTCAATGTGCACCTTCACAAGGGAACTAGCTCCACAATAAACATTCTGCGCTTGTTTTTCTTTGGTTGAGTTCCCTCCTTGTCGAATGTAGGTCCACAACACAAATGCGTTGTAAACAGACACATCGGGGATGTTGAAAGACAGTCATTGGCAATCTCATGGTCATTTGCTGCTGTGTGTCCTCTGCCTCATTGTCAGCAAAGATATGATTCAGAGCTTGGCGTACATTAAATCACCTTGCAATGTATCCTCTGTAAGTCACTGTAGGTCTTGCATGGCTGGACATGTCCGTCTTTGTTTGTATTGTCAAACAGGCAAAAAGAGAAGCCCCTAACTGAAGCTCAAGTGGTTGGAGGAAGAGCATGCTGTGGGCTGTTGACTGATCGTGTGTATGATTTCAGTTTTGGTACCTACAATTGTTATAATTTTATGTTATACAGTAACTAGGACAAAACTGACCTTAACATTACTGTAATCATGCTGACATAATCATGCTGACAAACACAACAATAATCTTGCTACATGAGATACAACATTTTTGTGGTTAGTTCCTGCTAATGACTGCCAAAGTGAAATAAACAGTTTAACAACTCCTTATGTCTGTTACTGTTTTTTTAATCAACAACATAAACAACTGTCTGGTAATTGTTGCCTGACATAACAGAAGAGCTGTAAACATCTAAATAGTAAAAGTTATAGTTTTGAAAAAATGCTGGGTCAAAATGGTGAATCAATTTGATACTTAGAAGCACGGTGTCCGACAGGTCCAAACGTGAAGCAAACAGCTAAACACCCAAATGATGCAAACTTCATATATATATATAACTATCCTCATTGGAACAATATTAAATTTTTTTTAGACTAGATGCCTTTGATTTTTCTTATTTTTCCAACAGTAGGTAGACAGGAAAGAGAGGGAGAGACATTCAGCAAAGGTCACTGGGTCTGGGACTCGAACCCAGGACAGCTTCATTGAGGACAATAGCCTCTGTACATGGTCGCACGCTTAACCCCTACACCACCAGCGCTGCACCGCCTATTAAAGTTTTTTGAATATGACTGTATGTCTGGACAATGTGCATAACAAACCTGAATCAAACCAAAATTGTGGCGATTGTGTAGAGATACACAATCACACCCTTGTACCTCAAGCACCCAGAGGACTAAGACTTTCCCCAACCCCCATTCATCTGTGCCATAGTCAGATGCTACAAACCTCCCGCCAGGCCCCCACACCGATCCCCACCCTGCACCCCACAGTGTCAGGAAGAGAAAAACATCCCAAAGACCCCTCCTGAACCAGTCAGGGAGCAAAGTGCAAACACAGCACAGGTACCCAAGTCCCACCACTTTACCCCAGAGAGCAACCCCAGGTGCATCCCATCCCTGGGGGCACCCAGCCAGCATGCCCCAGCGAACAGGCCGACCCCAGCCAAGAAGCAGAGCCGTCTCAGCAACAGTCAAGAGGGGTGGGAGACACCCGAGCCAATCCCCAGCATTAATACAGAGAACTCACACTCCCATGCCTGCGTCCCACTTCCACTCTTCCAACCGGTGTGCAAGAGTCCACAGAACCCAACCCCACCCCGCCACCACGAGGCACAGAACGAAGAACAGGGAGAGAGGCCATCACAGTCAGTTGACCTTTTGTTGTTACATTTATTGACAATATCTATAATTTCTCTTTCTTCAACTGCTGTGAGAAATTTTGAATGAGGATTTCTGCTGATTAATGTTTCATTCAGTTCTCCAGCTGTTGTAGCATCTGTGATTTTTTTCTGCCAGTTTAGGTCCCACACTTAAACAAAATATTTATTGAAATTATGAACCACACCTTTTCTCATCATTATTTGTAAAATACTGTGGAAAACTAATGTGTCTAGAGCATTTCTTATAACATGATTTAATGTATATTTCAGATTCCTTTAATACCATTTTTATTTCTATCTAATAATTTACTATAGCATTCTAGTTTAGCTATGTGTAGAATAGGAGTTAATTTATTCTCACATTTTTTTGTATTTATTATCTGAGTATTTATGGATAGTTTTGTTATATAGTGATTTAAAAATATTCAGAAAGCTTTAATTTTCTTTCATTGTCTTATGTCTTCTTCCTTCAATACTGACTCCCAATTTTGTTTAAATAATTCTTGTTTGAATACATTTATAGTTTCTCCTGTCCTTACTCTTTTAAACCACGGACTAATTTTCCCCTTATCTTTCTTGTAGAAATTGTCACCAACTACAAAGACAAGTAGATGACCACTAATATCATGAATTATTAATCCACTTGTAGTGTTAGCTATGAGATTAGTAAATATATTATCTATTTATGTGGCACTGTTAGATGTGATCCTAGCGATTCTGGGGAAAAGTCTCAGATTGTACATGGTATTAATGAACTCTTCACTGGTTTTGTGATTGTTTGAGTTAAACAGATCAATATTAAAGTCCCAACAGATGAAAAGACCTTCTGAGTTATAGCTCTGTGTTTGCTCAAACCATCTATTTATCTTATCTATCTATCTATCTATCTATCTATCTATCTATCTATCTATCTATCTATCTATCTATCTATCTATCTATCTATCTATCTATCTATCTATCTATCTATCTATCTATCTATCTATCTATCTATCCATCCATCCATCCATCCATCCATCCATCCATCCATCCATCCATCCATCCATCCATCCATCCATTTTCTATACCCGCTTCTTCCATACAGGGTTGCAGGGGAGCTGGTGCCTATCTCCAGCAGCCTACAGGCGAGAGGCGGGGTAAACCCTGGATAGGTCACGAGTCCATCGCGGGGCAGCACAGAGAAGAGGAGAAACTACCATGCACACACTTATTATATGGACATAATAAGCAATTAAAAACCTTTTTTTTATTTTGCCCACAACTAAGCTTATTTAAACTGCAATGTAGAGTCACAAGAAGATTAATATTTAGAGTTAATAAAAATTAGGCAAGTCAAAATACAATAGACTGAAATCCACAGTAAAATACTCCTAAAGCTGCAAGGATAAGTCCAAACAAAAAGAAAACACAATGAATGAATGAAAGAATCCACTTCCTGCTCCAGCACGTCACAGCATGGTGCTGCCCTACTCAAACCTCCTCCTTCTTCTCACAGAGCTTAACAATGGCCTCTGTCGCACAAGGCATGCTGGGAGATGAAGTTTCACACAACATGGAAATTTCCAAGACAGAGGAGTGAGTGGAAATTTACCGTGTCCCCTTCCCTCTGTTATATGCAGACAGCCATCTGCTTTTGCAGGATTTTCCAGTGAAAGTCACCTTATTTAACCATAATTATATTTATCCATTGAGGCCAAAAAACAGATATTATTATTACCACAACTTAACAGATTAAGCACCAATGTTTCCTATGTTTGTATCATGATTTTGTCCATAAGGTTTTATACTAACAGTATTAATATGAATTGTAGATGTGGTGGATGTGGTAGCAGGCCAAGAGGCCAATAAGAAGGCCTAAGAGAAGGTTTTTGCAGTTTCTCTGACATGTACTTTTAAAGATCCAAATGCAGCAAAGGTAACTTGATATAACTAGCAATAATGCATGCAATAGCAGTAAATAATGCAATAATGTAAATATGACACATGTACAGAGTAATTAACAGGAACATTTTGTGTAAATGGCACTTTCTACAGTTACATCTGGCATGCCTATTCAGCCCATTCACATAAAAACACAAATTAGGATTTTCTTGCCTTTTTTAATGTTTTTTTTTTCAAGAACAAACCTTTTTAAGCTTCAACTTGGAAAACATTGTTATTTTGCCAAACAACAAATGCACAGTGTTTATTATTCTAAATTATATACTCAAGGTAGGATTTGAGTGCAGCTATATTTCCTTTGGATCTGCAAATTATGTCAGATGGCAGGGTAAAAAGAAAACAGGTCTTGCTTTAAAAATATATATTTTCTGATCGATATGGGCTGCATTATTGTTATGTGCCAAACACAACCCTTAAAAAGTCCCAACTGGGATGTTAAACTTATGTAAATGGATCTCACCTTATAACAAACTAATTGCCTGAGTCTGGATTTTTCCAGGTTACAAACGCCAGCTATAAATCGGATTAGGTGTCAGACTTCGGTATCCAGAAGAAGCAGGTGGTTCTGGTAGTTTCTCTATCTCGAAGCAGATTAGAGATAGGTTCTATTATTACTGTGTTATTCCAGGATTAAGAAGCCACCTTTGTGTCTAAGTGTGTGGCTGCAGGTTTTGAAAACGACTTAGTAGGCTTCTACAGTTTGCTTAATGACCAGTTTAAAAGTTGGCAAACCTGTGCAGCCTCAAGGAATTACTAGCATATTCACTTAGCATATTTAAGTAAACAAACAGCAGCTATATTCATAAAAAGCTCTTTATTTTCAAGCAGATTTGTAAGTATATTTTTTTGTTTCTAATCGAATGACTTAAGGTAGGCTGACCATTTTAATATTATTTAAATAATATTATTACATTTTTTTAATGTTTAAATTATTTAAACATAAAAAATGTAAATAAGTATGTGGGTTAATGCCGGTCATTAGCCGGAGCAACTTCTCGACGTTTTCTATTACACGTCACGGGTTGGCTCCACGTGTGGGGCGTGGATTTGTACTGGTGCCTTTAAGGACTAGCAGGCTGATAGGGCATCATTGTTTGGTGGAGCATCACAGAAGAAGCTGTACTGTGCTTCACTGGGGAAGGGGGGGGGGACCGACTTGTCCGAGTCACATCTACACCTCCTTGACAAAGAAAGCCTGCTTAAAACAAAGAGGCGTCTCCTCCTAGGCGGACGGAGTATCTTCTTCCTGTTCATGTTCTTTAAGGGGGCGTGGAGCGGCGTGTTTCCGCGCGTCTGCTGAGTGTTTTCTCACTGCACCCGGTGAGTATGTGTAATCCCCTTCTTTAAGTCGATCCCATTTAAAATATATCCGGTGAAATAGCACTGTTAACCCGCTGAGGATGTATTTTCAATGAAGGAAGCGATTAGTTCAGTAAACGTCTCATCCGGCTAGATTACTACATTGCAACGCTGACGTCAGTGTGTTAAAACATGAAGGAAAACACGTCCAACGCCTTATTTCGGCTTTTTCTGCGCATTTAAGTGTCCTATTACTAACGAAGTTGTTATGAATGGGAAATTTGATCACCAAGGATGCGCATCGTTTTCACGCCAATGAATGAGCGGGTATACTAAAAATTTCCTGCCACCTGATAGGTGCATCCGTGTCCGCTGGTGGGCTGGTGTCGCCCAGTGGCGCCGGATCTGGTGGCCCTGGCCGGCCGTGATCTGGTCCCAACAGATATTCACGTCTTGACCCGATTGTACTGAGAGGCTGTGACGGATGTCTCTCTCTCCCTCTCTGGCGCTATCGCTGTCTAGAGACAGACAGGCACAAACAAAACGTTTGTGCCTCTTGAAACCTGACAGCATCCACAAAAACACGAGTGAGTTAAGTGCGCAATGAAATCGGAAGCGCAGAAAAACACACCTGTCCAGTTAACACGATTGGCTCAATGAATGTGCAATACCGGACGCTTCAGCGCAAAGTTATCAAATTCTGGGAAGAGTGAATGCCTATGTGTTTCTATAACACCCGCAGTGTTATAAACTCACTAAATCTGCAAATAACTGCGTTCATTATTAGTCTGTCATCCATGCGTGTCCCAAAGGCAGCTGCCATTTGCAAAAGTACCGCGCAGTGCGCACCGACGGTAGGTCGCTATGCGGAGAAATGCAGGCAGATGAAAAGAACAGAAATGACCTTCTCTGTTCGTGTGAACATCTCTGAAATAATAGAAGAAAGAAATAATCAGGACCTCTTGCAGCCTGTCAGGGTTATTGTTTCGTTTTCTGAATGCACTGCCAGTCAGGAACGGCCGTCACATAATCTCTCCAGACACCAGGACGCACGAAACTGTTTTTAATGAATGGAGAACTTCTATTTTACTTTTTATTTTATTAAAGACAATTGGTAATTATGAAAAAAAGGAAAAAACGGT